TTGGTGGGGACATAGTGTTTTGGCTTTCCATTTTATTATTCTTCTTTCGTGATTTTGGCATGTGAATTTCTTTTGTTGTTTATGATTCTCATATGAGAATTAAGTTGAAGTATGCTTCTGTTTGCATTATTAGGGTGACTAGGTCCTTTCCTTATTGGTTATGTAAAGCTGGTTGGTACAGGTTTCAGTTCTCTCACGTTTTATTTTGGAGGGAACTGATGGCTTCACATCAGCTAATCAGGAGTACCCACAGAAGCCCAAGTCAGGTGCCAGTCAGGTACATCCAGGCTTCCTTCTAAGGTTTGGATGCCTATTAGCAGGATCTCATAAAAAATTTGGGAAATTCCCAAAGGGGGGCAATTTTGGGACTCTCAGTTGATCTGCTGTGTTCTCAGCCCCTATGCCAGAAGGAGGCCAGAACCCAGCACTCTCTGTCAGTCTGCTGAGTTCACAGCCAGTACACTGATGGGCGTTGGAGCCCACCCGCCCAGGCTGTCTGCTAGGATGTCAGCCTTAGCCTACCCTCCCTTGAATATTTTCTAAATTTAGTGTTATTGATAATGAATGACCTAAGAGTAGTCAACTAACCTAATTCTTCTTCTGTGGGAAAAACACAATGCTTTGAATCCCATTAAAAACCTTGTGAGGTAACATGTGTCTGGAAAGCTCCTCAGGCATTGTGGTCCAGAACCTTTGAGAGGGCAGAAAGTAGGAGGCAAATGTGACTTTCAGCACCTTTGTAACACCATGGTGGCCGTTTGCCTTCTCAGCGTCTAGTTCTGAAAGGACTTTGGGTAATCACCCCATCTTTGTTATTTGAAAATATTTCCTGGTAATGGTCTTGGTGAAGCATTGACTCAGTCTGATCATTTGTTCCTTAAGAATAGTTCTGTGAGGGCTGGAGAGATGGCTCAGGGGTTAAGAGCACTGAGTTCTCTTGCAGAGGACCTGGGTTTGATTCCCAGCACCCACATGGCAGCTAATAACCATCCATAACAGTTCCAAGAGAACTGATGCCCTCTTCTGGCCTCTGCAGGTATTTCACACATGTGGTGCCCTTACATACATGGAGGGAATAAACTCACGCACATTAAAAAAATAAAAATAAAAAGGAATAGCTATGCATTTATAGTTTTTTTTTTTTCCTCTTAGGATAAGCCGTGTAATGCTCTATGAGACATAAATTTAGCAGTATTTTTTCTATGAAGGTTATATATAGCTGCTTCAACATTTAAAAATGTTTATGTACATATTTATATGCAATTTTTTTTTTTTTGACAGGGTATCCCTGTAGCCTAGCTGAGCCCCAGCTGGCCTGGAACTTGCTATGTATGGTCTTGATCTCCCAGAGATCCACCTGTCTCTGCTTCCTAAGTGCTGGGATTAATGGTGTGTCCTACCGGGGTGGAGAGATGCCTCAGTGGTTACAAGCACTGACTGCTCTTGCAGAGGACCCAGGTTCCATTCCCAGAACCCACATGGCAGCTATGAACCATCCTTAACTCCAGTTGCAGGGGACTCTGAAGCCCTCTTCTGACCTCCGTGGCATTGCATGACACGGGTGCACTCACATACATGCAGTCAATACGCTCAGACACATAAAATAAAAAAAATAAAATATATTTTTTAAAAAGGTGTGTGCTACCATGTCTGCCCATGAGTGTCTTACCTACATATATTTAAGGGTATCATGTGTGTGCAATGCCCAGGGAGACCAGAGAGGGCATCAGATCCCCTGGAATTGGAGTTACAGATGATTATGAGCCTCCGTGTGGGTGCTAGAAACCAGTCCCCCAATCTTCTGCAAGAGTAGCCAGTGTTCTTAACCACTGAACAATCTCTTCAGCCCAGTTAATTTAACATTTGAGTGGTTCCCATGTGTGACTACATATGTTAAGTGCTGGGCTCCATCCTAGGAGAATCTTTAGTCCAGTAGGAGAGATAAATGAGTACCAAGAAATAGCTTTAAGTGTTAGGAATGAAACCAACAGATTGTTGAAGCAGAGAGCAAAGTGTGGAAGGAGACCTAGGCGATCAGGGACAGCCTAGAAGGTGACATTTGAGCTGAGAATTGGGGAAAGCCAGACCTCAGAAACGGGGTAGCATTTACCTTAAGTCAGTTAGAGATAAATTTCACAAGGCCTCGCTGGAGATGGAGAGCTACAGGTAATAATCATTGACTGTTGAACGAGGGATAATCAGACTTCTTCAGGGAGGGGGCCCCTGATAGGTTATCCAATTGCAGTGGTCAGCCCTCAACACAGCACTCAATGGACTCGGTAGGATGTGTAACAGTGACTATGGGTGAGGTCATGAACTTGAGGAGTGGGGGGGACGCTGGAGGAATTGGAGGGGCAGTGGAAACGATGTAAACCTAGTACTCGTGTATGAAATTGCTACTAAAATAAAATAAACTCCCTAGGTCTGAGGCCAATCGAGGGATCGGAGGCTAAGCAGCCTCGCTGCCAGCACTAAAGATGGCGGACAAGGGGCGGTGCGTTCACGCACCGTGATTGGCCGGCCGAGGGTGACGTCCGTTGCTGGCGGCGGAGCATCCGGGCTCCAGGCGGCGGCGCTGCGGGAGGAGCGGCGAGCCGGCAGCCGGGTGGAGGGCGGCGGGGCCGCGGCCGAGCATGGCGGGCTCGCTGCCTCCCTGCGTGGTGGACTGCGGCACCGGGTAAGCGGCGCGGGGGCGGGCGGAGGCGAGGGATGCTGCGGAGATGCCGCGCTGCTGAGATGCTGCGGCGGGAACGGGATGCTGCGTGCGGGGATGCTGCGGAGGGACCGGGATGCTGCGGAGGGACCGGGATGCTGCGGAGGGACCGGGATGCTGCGTAGGGACCGGGATGCTGCGGAGGGACCGGGATGCTGCGGAGGGACCGGGATGCTGCGGAGGGACCGGGATGCTGCGGAGGGACCGGGATGCTGCGGAGGGACCGGGATGCTGCGGAGGGACCGGGATGCTGCGGAGGGACCGGGATGCTGCGGAGGGACCGGGATGCTGCGGAGGGACCGGGATGCTGCGGAGGGACCGGGATGCTGCGGAGGGACCGGGATGCTGCGGAGGGACCGGGATGCTGCGGAGGGACCGGGATGCTGCGGAGGGACCGGGATGCTGCGGAGGGACCGGGATGCTGCGTGCGGGGATGCTGCGGAGGGACCGGGAAGCTGCGCGGCGGGGATGCTGCGAAGGGCTAGCCGGGCACCTGCGCGGTCCAGCCTGCCCCCGCCCACTCTGCAGGCGCAGCGACACCTGCTCCTGGCGTGCCCTTGCTCTCACAGAACCGTGCTTCTGCAGGCCGAATTTGGGGTGATTGTTTTCTCCTCCCCTCTTGAGAATGTTCATTTTTCAGTGGACACCCCTGGAAATGTCCTGTTCTGTCAGTGGCCTAAGCTCCTCTCATCTTTGAACTGGGAGTTTGGGGATATGCTTGCATTGCGAGGCGTTCAGTAAAAATAGCCGGCAAGCACATATAGCCTCTCCCAAAAGATTATTTGTACTCTGTGGCATGGTCACCTTACCCGCGATTCTTTTCTCTAGAAAAATACATTTGGTTTGGTTTCCTTGACAACCTTGTGGGGGTGTCCATCTCTTGCTGATGGGTCTTTCCTTTCACTCACTGCTCAGGAACCAGCGTAGCGGGCTACAGGCCGCCTTTTTGTTTGTGCTTATTTTTTTGAAGTACACATTTTAGAGAAGTTTTGTGGCTATTTGAGAGGTTGCTTGCTTCCCCGTACAGAAGCTCAGATCGTTATTGCTATTAGAGCCTCACTCCCCCATTTGTTGGCCCGCCTCTCATTCTGCACAGGGCACTCCCTCCTGTCTGGTGTCAGGACTGAAGGCAACATGTAAGAGCTGTCCATTTTGCTTTTTGCATGTGACATGTTTTGTTCTTGTATTTTTGGTTTTGCCCAAACTATTGGAATATAAACCTTCTTGTTGGTAGCAGTGAACTAACACTCCCAGAGTTTTTCAGACCTGTATTTCATATTAGTAAGCTGGGCATCTTAGTCATCCGCCTTGCTATAAATATCAAAAATGCTCAGTTTTGACCTTTTGAGGTAAGTGATTAGTGTAACTTTGTTCCTGGGAAATTCACCTTCAGAAGATCATTGTGGACCAAGGCTGTGCTGTATTCTGTTGTACGGCAGGACAGTGACTTCTTGCCAGAGAAGCCCCTGTGGTTATCGGGAATTCCCAGTGCCCAGTGTGTGAGCAGAAGAAGCCAGAATAGCCAAAGCTTACCCTTCAGTGCATTAGTGATTCTTACATTTCCAGAGAGCCACAATCATTTTAGGATTGAGTTTTGCCTCAAAATAGAACAAAAAGTGGTAAAATGCAGCTAAAAATAACCAGAACTGAGGAAAAGAATAGACCTAGAAAAATTTTTCTCTGTGGGCACGAATGAGGAAGAGGATTTTTGTTTGTTTGTTTGGGGGCGGGGCAACACCGACTGGAGTTTGAATCCAGGGCCTATGGTAAGTGAAGCCTCTCCCACTGAATTGTACCTCAAGTCCCAGTGTTCTCTCTCCTCCCCCCTCCCTCCCTCTCCCTCTCCCTCTCCATCTCCATCTTCCTCCCTCTCTTCCCAGTCTCATTGTGTAGCCCAGGCTGGACTTGGAACAGTCCTCCTGCCTCAGCCTCCCAAGTGCTAGGATTATAGGTATGAGCCACCATGCTCAGCTAGTCTGTGTTTCATGGTAAATAAACCTCTTCCCAAATCCTCTAACAAGCTCTGAGACTGACCAACTGTACACAGTGTGCTGGGGCCAAGTTAATCATGGACAAAGGGATCTGTAAGATCCAAAAATAAAGTTCCAGCTATTTAAGGGAGTGACTAGGCTACAGAGGGCTTAGCAGATATTCCACAAATCCAGCTCCACTTCACCAAACCTTTAAAGTAGTTTTACATTTAAATCAATTTTGAAACTTTCAATTCTACTGAAAAGTAGGCAAGAACGGAAAACCAGTACACTCTTCCAGTTTACCAGCCTTCAACATTTGCTTTATTGTTCTTTGTTTTCAGACCGGTTACTACTTTTCTAAACTGTTTAAAAGAGGGTTGTGGGCATCATCCTCTTTTATATATTTCAGTGTCAAGGACTTACATAATCACAGACCAGTTACTGAAGTCAGAAAATTGAGCATTTATGCAACAGTCCTGTTCTGTCTGCAATCTGGACTTGTGTGAACAGTTCCATTTCTCTTCTTCCTGGAATCTAATCCTGGCTATCATCCACATCATGCATTGCATTTGATGGTCCTCATATCTGTCTGTCTGTCTGTCCTCTCTGTTTCTTGGTGTTTGCCGTATGTGCAGATGCCTTTGGAGGCCAGAAGAGGGCGTTGGATACCCTGGAGCTCAAGTTGCAGGCACTTGTGAGCTGCCTGTCATGGGTGTGGGGACTCAAAAGCACGTTCTCTAGGAGAGCAGTATGTGCTCTTCCTTCACCTCTGAGCCATCTCTCCAGCACCACCATTCCTTTTTTAAAAGTGGGAGGTGAGGGTCCTGTTATGTAGCCCGGGCTGGTGGGCTCTCTAACCTGGGATCCTCCTGCATCAGGCTTGCTAGTGCTGGGGTTACAAGTGTGCACCACCACACTTGGCTGTTTATGTTTCATGTTTTCTGGGACAGTTCAGTAGCTATTTTTTGTCTTTCAAGATGTTGCCATTTTGACAGTCAGTTGTGTATAATTCCCTGTAGTTTTGGCTGACTGTTTCTGGGTATAACTAGAGGTTATGCAGGTTTGTAAGGACTGCACAGAAGTATGGTTGGTTCTTTTCTAGTGGGTCTGCCTCATTCTTTTCAATGTTTTAAATCAGTATATATATATTTTAAATATTTTATTTATTATTTTTATTTTATGTGTATATGTGTATTGCCTGCATGTATGTGATGGCACCAGTGTCGTGCAATGCCGAGGAGGTCAGAGGAGGGCTTCGGATTCCCCTGGAACTGGAGTTAAGGACTGTTCGTAGCCACCATGTGGGTGCTGGGAATTGAACCCGGGTCCTCTGCAAGAGCAGTCAGTGCTCTTAACTGCTGAGCCATCTCTCCAACCCCTTTTTCATTTATTTTTAATCCAGTGGTTTCATTACAGTTGCTTGTAGAAGCACGGCCCATACCAGTGGCTACACTTCATAAGAAAATCTCTCTCTCTCTCCCCATCGACGGTTAATTCTATATAAATCCTCAGAGAGGAGTGGGGCCTCCTGACACCTCTCTCCATGACAGGATGGGGACTGGCCCAATTTTATACAGATCTTGTGCCAGTCACCACAGCTGCTGTGAGTTCAAGAGTGTCACAGCCATGTTCTGCCTGGAAGTCAGCATTTCACCTCCATTCCTGCCTCCTGCTCTTAGGTTCTTTCTGCCCCTTCTTCTGAAATGTCCCCTGAGCCTTGGAGGGGGTGAAGTTGATAGCCCATGTATGGCTGGGTATTTGGCAGTCGTTAATGGCCAGTATTCTCTGGTCACTGGTAACCACCAAAAGAACCCTCCCTGACCAAAGCTGGCAGTGGCACTGATCTATGGGCAGGGAAAGGGGCGTTGGTGTTTTTTTTTTTTTTTTGTCTTTTTGAGTCAGGATCTCCCTGTAGCCCGAGCTGTCCTGGAACTCACTATGTAGACCAGGCTGGCTTCGAACTCACTGAGATCCGCCTGCTTCTGCCTCCTGAGTGCTGGGATTAAAGGCTTGCACCACCACGCCTGGCTTGGGACATGGCATCTTTAGCAACAGGGTCTCACATCTAGTTCTGGTGGGCAGTCAGCAGCAGTAGCAATTGCCTGTATTGTTTTGGGGGCCTTAGGGGCCTTCCTGACTCATAGGGAGGCACTCCACCCCTGGCACTGAAACTTTCGTTTAATAACTTAGAGCTTCTGGAAACAGTTTTATTCCCCCAAATGGAACACCTAGGCCATTCAGACTCTTTAAAGTTCTTAAATTGTCAGGAACTCACTATGTGGACCAGGCTGGCTTCAAACTCACAGAGATCCACCAGCCTTTGTCTCCTGAGTGCTGGGATTAAAGGGGGTGTGCCACCACAGCCAGCTGTTTTTATGAATTTTAATTTTCAGTTTATCTATCAGATTTCCTCAGGGCATTTTCATATGTCATTGAGGTTCATTGACCCTCCTCCTCTTCAACTACACCTTTGGCCCCTCTTCCCCTTTAAACCTTTCTCTCCCCGATATCCCCCTTCTACTTCTGTAGCACAAGCTCTACTGCCCCCTTCCCCCCAAGGATCTTCTCCTTCCTCTCATGGCCCCTTTTAGTTTGCTGGCCCTGTACACTCACTCACACATAGGTGCACGTAGATAAAATCGAGAAGTTAGGACCCAAATTTAGAGACACGTGGGGTTTGTCATTCTGGGCCTGGGTTACCTTAATATTTTTCATTTCTATCCATTTTTTCTGCAAATTTCATTCTCTTTATGGTTGGATAAAATTCCATTGTGTGGGGACCGAAGAGATGGATCAGCAGTAAAGAGCACTGACTGCTCTTGCAGAGGACTCAGGTTCGATTCCCAGCACCCACACGGCGGCTATGAACCGTCCTTAACACCAGTTCCAGGGGACTCCGTAAGCCCTCTTCTGATCTCCGTGGCATTGCACGACATGGGTGCACTCACACACATGCAGGCAGTACACTCATACACATAAAATTAAAAAAAATCCCGTTGTGTGTATGCACCATGTTTTCCTCATTCATTCATTCATTCATTCATTCATTCATTCATTGACAGCTAGCTTGGCTCTGTTTCCTAGCTATTGTGAATAAAGCAGCAATGAACAGATGTGCAGGTGTCTGTGGTCATATGAAGAGTTCGTTGTCCTCGAGAGGTATAACTGGGTCATATGGAAGTTCTGCTTTTAGATTTGTGAGAAACCCCCACACTGATTTCCAGAGTGGCTGCACTCCCACCAACAGTGTCTACGGTCTCCTTGCCCCGAGTTCTCACCAGCACCTGCTGTCATTTGTTTTCTTGGGAGAGGTATAACTGGGTCATATGGAAGTTCTGCTTTTAGATTTGTGAGAGACCCCCACACTGATTTCCAGAGTGGCTGCACTCCCACCAACAGTGTCTATGGTCTCCTTGCCCCGAGTTCTCACCAGCACCTGCTGTCATTTGTTTTCTTGTTGATAGCCATTCTAACTGGGGCAGGCGGAATCACAAAGTTGTTTTAATTTGCTTATCTGTGGTGGTTAAGGATGTTGACTACTTAAAAAAAAAAGATTTATTTTTAATAGTGTGTGGGTTCATGCGTGTTCAGGTGCTGAAGAGGTCAGAGGGTTGGATCCACCTG